TGGGTGAATGCATTCAGATGAGTAATAGTAAAGATTTAACTTAGTAGAATTTCAAATGGTAATCGTAAACTAATCGTTTCCTTATAAAGAATCGTTCGGCATTCACTGACCGAACAGTTGACATTATTGTCGGTTGAAATTTATAAAGTATTTTTATGAAATCAGTTTCTCAGGAAAGACAACTAAATGTTATTTCTCTTTCTAGTATTGAAGTGAGTTTCCTTCCTAGCCTTTTGTTTTTGTTCGTGCCGAAAGTTAACAGTTTCATTATATCATTATTTTTCTTTTTAGTCATATGTGCTATCCATTTCTGTTGTTACTGCTGTTGGAAGTCTTCAAGTGATGTAGGTTTTTGTTATTTAGTAAAGCACCTTATGTTTTTGCATCGCTAATCTCTAAGGTCTGATGAAAGATAGTTTTTTTTTTTTTATAATGATGTTCACTCTGAAAAAGCCCAGCAGCCACTCGAGGTAGTGGGTTACAGAGTAAGAGGCACAGTTTATGGAGATATGTGAGGAAGATAACGGTTAATCCCAATTTTGAACAGGTTGAGACTAGAAATCAAGGAGGGCTTCTTTAGGGAATCAGTTCCACAAAGCAGCGGTTCGTTAAAGAAGCTGGTCCAGTGACGCTTACATTTCACTAAAGGAATACGAAATGAATGAGGGTGACTCGCAACCATGTTCATGGCATGCCGGGTTTTAATCGTGAGGGTTAGAACTGGTGGAACTAAAGAATGTAGTTCGTCTGAGCACTTTCCATGGAAATAGTGATAGAGCAGGGAGGGGCTTGCGATGTTTCTTTTGTGGGAAAGTGGTTTTAGGGTGGAAAATCATTCATCACCTACAAGGACGAGGAGACTATGGCAGTGTTTCTCAACCTTTTTATCCCTGTGGAATCCTCGAAATATTTTTCATGTCTCAGGGGACACCTGCATAAATATGATTATATATAATTATTAATATCTATCTATTTTATATTTTATTATAATAACCAAGGTTTTTTTTTGCCATATGTGTATAGTAAAATTACGAATATAAAATTAAACAAAAATTACTAAAAAAAAATGCATTAACCTATAGATCAGTGTTTCTCGCGGAACACCAAACAACCTGTTGTGGAACCTCAGGGTTCCGGGTAAGACTGGTGAAGAAACACTGCTCTATGGAAACTGAAAAGTGAAAACTGGTCATCTCCTGTCCTTCTCTAGCAGCAGTATTGCATTTTCGGCCTGATCTGGCTTTTGTAATGGTAGAGGATACAAAGAGGAATCAGGTACTTATTGGAGCGGTACAGGGAGCCAGTATCTTTAGCGATGGATCGTATGTAAATGTTCCGCTTAGGGTTTCGGTTGAGTTTAAGTCCCAGTAAGCGCTCAAGTCAGGGGTCCTTTCTGAGAGACCACACGTTCATAGGTGAAAATTCACGATTCGCTCAGTGATGATGGAGTATCACTACTTTGGTTTTCGAGACATTAAATATGACCAGCCAGTTTTTTTCCCATTTGAGCTGTTAAAACTAGAGAGATCCACAAATAATCGGAGTACAGGTATACCCCAACTTATGACGTTAATTGGTTCCAGAGGTCACGACTTAGGTCGAAAAACGACCTAAGTCGAAATCAGTCAGTTATTTCCTATGCATGATACACGTTTAGGCGATCATGTCTCTCTGGATACATGATTGACGAGGCAGACTTTTTTCCGCGCTAGATTGCCATTTCTTTCTACGCCATCCAAGGCTATAGAACATGGTCTTTCAGGTTAATTACCCATAAGGTATTAGCATGTAAATGAATGTAACTGGAATTCGAACTCGGCTCACCGATTCCTTAATCCGAGCCGCTATCTATTACACCACCGTGCTTCTAAGTCGAATTATAAACCGTAAAATAAGCACACCCTATTGCCTATTACAGTATTTATGATATGTACGTACAGTATTCTGAATAAAATAATTCAAAACAATTTTAAATTTACATTATCACGAGTAAAATGACCTAAAGCGTGTTTTATTTTTCCATATAATATTTAAGAAAAACCGACGTATCTTCGAAGATGACTTAATTCAAAGCGACTTAAGCCGAGGTATGACTGTATACTCTTAAGCAGATTAATTATGCAAAGTAGAAAGAAGCATATTGATTTTACAAGGACAAATTCCAGACGCATTAAAGTTAGTGGACGACAAACTACGGCCTGTGACGGGTTTGAGTGCAACCTGTGAATGTATTTAAAAAATAAACAAATTTTCGGGCATAATTCGATTTTTATGTAATCAGTTTTATTTTTTAATCAATTTACTTAATTTCCAATGGAAATAAATGACAAATCTACGATAATTCATTAATTTCATTGAATCTTCGTTAAAAAAACTCACCAAATTTGTGGAGACAACTATCAAGGTTTGTAGGCCAATTCTTATAAGCCAACAATTCTCTGCAGTTCCACGAGCCACATTGGAAAATTATGTATTGCAGATGCCGACAAGCAATAATAAAGTGAGATCACGTTTTGTTTTGCAACAAACAGTGTCTGAATTTTTTTCTTATCATGTCTGCAGTTCGCCATTAAGCCCTCCAAACAGCACATGTGGCCCTCAAAAAAGAATAAAAAGAAGCTTCCGCACTCCTGATTTAAGTAATGTGTATGACAGTTATTTGCATGAAATACATAAATGTATAATTACTTATCTTTTATTCGTTCTTTTTCAATCTTTTCTTTATTAAATTATATTTGTCTCAGATTGGTGGTTAAATTTTGTTCATGAATTGTGTATGCTATATGCAACAATGATTATAAAACAAGAGATAACATTACTTACTAATTAATATTTACTTACACCTCCGAGCTATGGGTTAAATAATAGAATTTGTAACTGGAAAAACAAATGTTATTCTAAAAAATGTTAAAGCAATATTCAGTTGCAATTAAAAAATATTCTTAAAATCCAAGTTATGTTTCGGTGTTACATAAGCCAGAAAGTGTTGATAATTCAAATGAAATTCTTTTTTTAAATAAAGATTTTAATCATTAAAACAGACAATGTTTCATGATTTGGGCGTTTGAATTTCTACCAGCCTGAACAGCGCTTAGCTCAACAAAGTTCAAAGAAATGTTTTAGTTGTGATACTTTTAATTTAATCCATTGAATTGTTTGATCTTAATAACCATTGCCTTGAGTGTAGAATAACATACTCAAGGAAAAAAGTTGATTAACAACATGGGAGCGGCTAACGTGATATCTCGCGAGATTTTCTTTTTGCTTCTCGTATATTAACTAGCTTACTAGAAAGTTTCCATATCTCATTGCTATGAGATTTTCTAGTATTTCTGGCGCACAATATTCTTTCTTTCTTAATTAATGATTGCCTTTGATATTTATCTTTGTTACTCCGATTGTAAATCATATAAATAATGATATCTCCTCATTCCCGAAATTCAAACAGAAGTTTATATTTTATTCGTCTGCTATTAAGCTTTTACATATTGAATTCTATTCTGGTCGTTAAATTCGGTTGATGAATTGCGTATGTAAATATAACAGTGATTATAAAACAGGAGGTAAAATTATTTACTTAGAAAACCACACGAACGACTAGATTTCCAATATCAATTTTCAGCGTAGAAAATCTTCAATTCCCGAAGCCATCAAGTAAACGGAAGGCCGAAGAATAACAACAGGGTGCCTCTCAACCAGACAAATATTTATTAATAATATTTGACAATTATTTATTTCATGTTATTTTTGTGGCTTTTTAATGCACCTGTCAGATTTTCATTCTAATATTAACGAGGCAGTATGTGTCATGAGAAAAGAATAATTTTTTCACGAAATTCAATTCCGATTCCTCAGGTGGAAACATTATTGAGCAAATGTATTAAGCTTAAAAAATAATTCACTAAACTTTAGTAAATTGCCAGTAATTAGTAATTAATTAATTCTCACTATTTTTTAAAAAATAAGGATATCTACTGTAAAATGAAATTAACATGATATATTATACCATATATATATTATCATGACATATTATATTATATATATATGTATATAGTGAAATTAACATGATATATTGCGTATATAAATATTTTAAACTGTGTTATTCACCCATTTTAAGGCTCAAGAGCCACTCAAGATAGAGAATTACAAAATAGGAGAGACAGTCTATGGGAATATTTGGAGAATATAACGGTTCATCCTAGATTAAGATTGAGTGATCGACGAAGTAGCCTTTCAGAAATCGGTTCCATAAAGCGGACAGTATACTCCGAAAATCATCTTAAAACTGGTCATTTAATCCAATTTATATTGGGAAATTATTGATTTTTATAATAAATTTATTGATTTGTTTTTTTTACGGCTAATCAACCTTTTGCACGTTATTTTAAAGCCAGAACATATTTTTAGATTGTAATTATAATTATTATTATTATTATTAATAATAATAATAATTTGCTGATACAAGTCATACTAATTAATCCATAGCTGCAGGGAGAAAAGGTGGATTCAATATTGACTTGTATAATAAATTTATTAATTTGTTTTTTACGGTTTATTAACCTTTTACAGGTCATTTTAAAGCCAGAACATATTTTAAATTGTAAGAATTTTTTAGATAATAATAATAATAATGATTCGCTGATACAATTTGTTATAGTGGAACGCACCTATTCTATTGCTAATAGACTCTCCCACCTATAATAAGTAGGAGTAGTAGCAGACGTTAGTCGGATATTAAAGTATCAGCGACCACGAGTCATTACCTATTATATCAAGTTTCTAACGTTTTGTACGTCGAACCTATTTTAGGACCAACTTAGTAAAAATACAAGCCTCCACTGTGAAACTACTCTACAACACAATTCTTACTACGGTGGATTCATCCATTTCCCGAGGTTATTTGCGCGTAAGTGACTATAACGAACTTGAATGGAATTGGAACTCGACTGTCCGATTTCCAATACCGAGCCGCTATCACTTGCACCAGTCGCACATCCAAGCTTACAGCACCTAGTATTCCCAAGCGCTCACCCATCTAGGTACTGATCAGGCTCAATGTTGCTTAACTTTGGTGGTGATCGTATGAGAACCGGTTCCAGCGTGATATTTGCTGTAAGTCTTGTATGATAAAATTTGGCAGTGTATGGTGTATGGAATCAAAGAACAACATGATAAGGGTGGGATTAGTTACGGAGTTGAGCTTTATGGTTTGTCTCAGAGATTTAGTAATTGTCCTATAAATGTGCAGGCGTCATTTAAAATGAGCGCAGTCAACCTCGCCTAATCTTGACCCCTTTTAAGAATTACTCATACAGGATGTCTCAAAATCTAAGCATTAAAACGTGGAAATAAAAGGAAAAGAACGTCACAAGAAAAAAAAAAACTATCAAGAAAAGAAAAACAACTGAATACGTAGACAAATACACGTAGATGCGAGCTTGCATCTATTCACTTCACGAAAGAGTAATCGCTTAACTACACGTGGTTATTAAAACAGTATTTACAGGGTTAGGATCCTAACAGAACGAGAAAGAGGTTTTATTATTGGTAAGAAAAATCATAACAATATAAAATAGACAGGTGACTGTGTTGGTGACAGATACGGAAAGATAAACTATAGGAACTCATAGACAACGTAGTAAAAGAATGCGGGAAGAAAAGACTACCCACTAAGTGCAAGAAGACTGAGTGTGTGGTTGTGAGCAAAAGGGGAGCCCAAGATATGAGCCACATATTGGAGATGTCAAAAACAAACAAGTACAGAAATTTAACTGAGAAGTTAACAGACGTTAGGAAATGTGACACAAAAATCTAAAGGCGCATTTGAAAGATGCTTTCCATCATGTAAAGAAAGTTTTAGAAAACAGGGGAAAATGTCATTAGAAACAAAGGAAAGAATGGAATATTAAGAACAAATGAATAACGAAGAAGTTTTAAAGTTAAAATCAGAAAGCGACAGTTGAAATTTCTGTCATATACAATGAAGAAGGCTTGGAGAATCTAACACTTACTGGGCAAAAGGTGCGGAGGGAAACATCGCGTAGCCTACTCAACGAGTCTGCGTAAACGGTCGGCAGAACAGGATATTGAAAAAAAATAAACATTTTAAAAATTATAGGAAGTTGCGGACAGCCATCATTGAACACGTCCTGAAGGGACACGAAATTAAATAATAATAATAATAATAATAATAATAATAATATAGGGGGAAGACTTATTGTTTTTGCACTGATGTTGTTTATTTTAAAATTCAATCTTTCTTAATGACGGTACATCAAGCTCGTCGTTGTGAAAATGTTTCATCTTTTGTAGTCAGTGGCAATTGTGATAGAGACGAACTTCTGGCACCATAACGAGGAAAGAATGCTTGGAGAATCTGACACTTACTTGGCATATTAATTGCAAAATGTACAGAAGGAAAAAACGAGTAACTCACTTATGTAAATGGGTTGGATAGGTGAAAGTAAAAAAATTAGTAAGAGCTTAAAAAATAGGAAGTTGTGAAGAGCTATGAGCCATCATCTGCTGAAGAGTCACAGCACCTAAAAGGAGAATGGAAGGGGGGTTTAATGGATAATGGTTTGGATTGAGAGACGTGTTCAAATACCAAACGGTTTCCTTAAGAGGCCTGTTCAAATACCCTTAAGAAAGCTATGAATGTGTCCCCCCCCTGCGATGGGTTAAATATAAGGACTTTTATCTGGAAGAATTGTTATTCTATAAAAATTGTTAATGCAGTAATCACTCTTAAAAACAAAATATTCTTCAGTTTTAAATAAGCCACAAAGTGTTGATAAACTGTAAGAAAAAAAAACAAATTAAATTATTGTCTTTTAAATAAAGTCTTTAATCATTAAAACACGAGATGCTTGATGGTTTGGGCGTTTGAATTTCTACTTAGCTCAACAAAATCTAAGGAAAGGGTTCAGTCCGTTAGATTTTTACTTTAATCTATTGAATTGTTTGATCTTAATAACTATTGCCTTGAACGGCAGGTGTAACTTACTTAAAAAGAGTCGATTAACAATATGGGAGCGGCTAATGTGATATCTTGCGAGATTTTCTTTTTGCTTCTCGTATATTATTAACTAGATCTCTAGAAAGTTTCCATGCCTCATTGCTATGAGATTTTCTGGTATTTCTGGCGCACGATATTCTTTCTTTTTTAAATCATGACTGCCTTTGATATTTCTCTTTGTTAGTCCGACTGTAAATCATGTAAATAATGATATCTCCTTGTTCCCGAAATTCAAACAGAAATTTATTTTTTTTATTTGTCTTCTTTCAAGTTTCTGTATATTGAATTCTATTGTAGTTTTTAAATTCGGTTCATGAATTGTGTATGCAAATATAACAGTAATTATAAAACAGGAGGTAAAAATATTTACTTAGAAATTCATACAAACGACGAGATTTTTTATCTCAGTTTTCGACGTAGAAAATCTTAAATTCTAATTTCCATTTGCCGAAGCCATAGAATAAATGAAAGGTCGAAAAATAACAATACTGATCTTCTCGCTTGAAATTTCTTTGTCATATCTCCTGGTTCTTCATATATAGCAGTGAATGGGTTTATTCTTGAAGACAGTTCATAGTTGGTAATTAAGGTAAATGAAGTCATCTTGGAGAGCGGCTGATGAGGTATTTCACCGAAGTGACGTCAAACAAAATTATCTCGGCATGAAGTACTTTAATCTGGCTAATATTTTCTTAATATTTTTCGTATTTTGTCGACATTGCTGAGAAATTATCAAATTAAACTGATTTATGTGTCATATGTTCACGAGCAATACTTGTGCAAAGGATTCACCCTCTAAGACTATTCAGGAATATCTAAACAGCCTGATGTACGCAACTGCTTTCTCAGAGCGATGCTTTGAGCGAGTGGGGACTTAAGTCTTAAGTCTTAGCGAAGACCACCTTTCTTCGAACCTTGTAGACTGGCGGAACAGAATCCCTAAATAACAGGACCACATCATTTGAGTAAATAGATATCACATATACCTCAAAGAGAATCTGTCTATATTTCTGAGATGAGGTATTATGTACACTATTTACATTATTCGGTCTATTGTCCTCATCTTTGTCGTCATATTTGTCGCCATAGACATTAAGTTTATAATACCCAGAAATTCATCAAGGACACATGGCACAGTGGATAAAGGCGTTAGTTAGATCCAGTGACAGGAATCAAAGATTTGTGAGTTCAATACCTGGTTAAGGAAGGGGAGAACTTGGAGAAGAGAATTAACAGGAAGATAACTGACAACATGGCACGTGGAACTAGAACAGTCTACCCCAGTGAGCGAAATAAAGGGTTCAGTTCGACATTCCACATTTCGTACAACGGCCGAAACGTTGTAATAAATATGTCGACAAAGATGAGGACAATAGTCCGAATAATGTAAATAGTGTACCTCAATGACATAATCAAGATGTTGACGTTCCACACTACTTCAAGCAAAAGCTTAGGAAGGAAACTACCATCAATAGTGGAATGAGCGGTAACAGCTACTGGTCTTTAGGAACCCATTTTTCTGAAAAATGTTTAAAAGAAAGATTTTATAAATTTCAACCGACGGTAGTACTGGCTGTTCGGTCAATGAATGCTAAATGTTTCCTTATAAGGAAACAGCTAATACTACCATAACCATTTACCTACCTTAGAAGCAGCTTTAAAGAAGTTTTATTTCTTGCTGCAATTAGATTACCGGTATGCATCTACTTGTATTCAATGTCCAGAGTGCATTACACCGAAAAGATTGACACTGAATTCAATCGCTAGGGCTTATTTTTACTATTGTTTACCTAGGAGCCACTCAAGGTAGAACATTGGATGTTTTAAGGCTTTGCAAAAAGAGAGGAAGGGGTGAATATTATGAGTATATGTAGGATAGATAGAAGTTGGCTCTAGATTTGGAGAGGCCGAGATTGTAATTTCAGCCTCTCCAAATCGGGGAAGGATCGGTTCTGGAGTTGGTTCCACAATGAAAAATCTCCAAGGAAAAAGCTGTCCGAATGAAACTTCCTCTTCACTAATGAAATATGAAGAGAATGAGGATGAATTGACTGAGCGTACGTGGCATGGTGGGCCACAGCCCTGAATATGTATAAAATTATCTCAGTTCAACAAAAATGATGCTAAAATTCAAGTCGATGAAACAGACCAATGACAAAGAGGGGCAGTAAAAGGACAAGAGTTAGAGAAGAAGAAGAAGAAGAAGAAGAAGAAAGTGGGAGAAGAAGAAAGTAGAAGAAGTAATCGATGCAATAACGATCAATTCTGAATAGACGTTCATTCATTTGCACGTAACGCGATGAAATCACAGCCATTAAAAACGTAGTGACAGAACTAATTTCAACTCGGAACTAATTTCAACTAGGAATTAATTTCAACTAGAAATTAATTTAAAGTCGGAATCAATTTAAACTTGGAACTAATTTCAACACGATTTAAAATCAAAGTTATCAATTTCCGTGAATTCCTAAACAAAATGCAATGTTGGTGTTAATTTTTTAATTTAGCATTAAAAATCCTTAGTAGTTAAGATAATTCATAAATTCATCTTTTCTGCAACTTCCATTAATTATTTCTGCACCCCTAAAAAGTACCTAATGCAAGAAACACGTTCTTTATTCGATTTGGTTAAGTAAAAAAAAAGATTTTCTTTCTTTTTACAGTATTGTTCACCCTGTACAAGGCCCAGTGGGACACTCGAGATAGAGGTTTACAGAGTAAGCGGCAGTTTATGCGGACAGGAGAGGAAGATAACGGTTAACCCTAGACTTGAACAGGTTAATATTGTAGTGATCAGAGAAACATCTGCTCGAGAGTCGGTTTAAGCGGCTGTTCGAGTGGAACTTACTTCTTACCGATGGAATACGGGAGAGGGAATGCCAGTGGTTTGCTACAATGTAAGTGGCATGGCAAGTCCTTGCCGTGAAGGTTAGAACTGGTGGAACCAAGGAATGTGGTTCGTTCCGAGCACTTTCCGTGGAAGTAGCGATAGAGCAGGAAGATTGATGATTTAAATTCTCCAAAGACTTCTGCTTATAACTAATATAAACATTAAACGCTAGAAAAATAAATTTCTCG